AACAGCTGATCAGGGAGGCTCCTCAAAAACCTCAAAAACCCTGAAATAACTGCAAATAAAAATACTGGGGAGCAGAGTGCTCAGTATAACGAGAGGAGCAAGAGGAGCAGAAACCATGCTCAACCTAAATATTCACGTACCTGGGCTGAGAGGATGAGGAGGATCAAAGGAGGCTCAAACAAGAGCCTAACAACTCAAAAAAACTTGCCATTACACCAAGTCAGGAGCCTCCTTCACCAATAAATTTCACATTTCACATTATACACAGTTCCTATTCTGTGAAATAAAATAAAACCAAAAAGGAATTCTGAAACACTCCTCGTTCCTCATCAGATTCCTTCCATGCCCCGCCTACAATCCCCGTGATCGGTCTGATTAACTGCCTCAGCAGCTGCAAGACCCGAAACATGGGTGAGAGGCACTCAATTCTCAAAGAGAATCAGGCATACAGGCATTCTCAACGCGATCACATCTCGCAGCGTGGCTAATCTCCGTCGAGAGCCAAACACACTCTGTTCAAACACTAAATTCTCTCAAGAATCAGGCAAGAACAGAAACCGCCGCGAATGCATCGCATTAAGCTTGTTCAACTCCCTCGAGAGGCGAACGCGCTCGTGCAAACGCTGACAAAAACTCGAGTACAGACCTCTGCTCTAGTAGTTCCGCGAATGCAAACAGTGAGCGCATCCTTATCCCTCGCTTGTCCTTATCCTGTCTCACTGGACAAGCCCATCCTGAGAGGCGTGAATCTTCTCAGACTTTAAAGGGCTCACGCACAGTTCCGCCCTAGGTATTCTGCTAAATCTTCTGATTGCTGTCCGTATGGAGAGCCTGAGCCGGTGCGGGCGTGCCTGGTGGGCTCCAACATATAGCCTTTCAGTCTGCGGTTTTGTTAAGTTTCTGAGAAGATGAGGATGTGAGCTAGAAACTCTTCTGCAACCCTTAAGTCTGCGCCAGGCTTCGGCCTTGTCTTTACATTCACCAACGATCCTAGGATCTCAGCTGACGTCTCTCTTAGCTCTTGTCCACTTTCCACTGGGAATAAACTCCCAATCACCATCAAGTCAGAACATCTTTGAACGTCTCCAGTGTGACCATGCTCTGAATCACATATGAAATCAGTCCAATAGATGGGCGAGACGTCATGGGCAGGTGACGTTGCGACCAGGAAGCTATAAAAGCACGTGCGGTGGAACCGGCGTCAGCTTCTA